GTAGCATAAGTACCAACTACTACTTGGGTAATACAAGTAAAACTTGTATTAACAAGAAAGATATACTGTAGAGTAGACTATATAACTTAAGGATTCGGGAAAACAAGTCTTAGAAATGCCATTGACGATATTACGGTGGCAGTAGCAATATTAATAGCTGAGAAAAGGATAGTAGAAAACCTGCAGTTGATTTGTAGTCAAAAAGGCATTAATTCCATGCAAGGGAGCTCCGACTGGAAATCTAAAATCAAGTTCTGGATCCAAACACAAAGTCATGAATTGAACAAAGGAAAGCATGACTAAAAGAATTACAATTTTAATTCGATTTTTTAAAGTAAGACCTTAACATAAAATTTAGTATCTTCGAACTTGTTAAAATAGGATTTAACGCAAACCATACCACCAATTTCGCCCCCTTTGTTTACAAATGTGTGAGTATGATCCTTCACGAGTAGATTTTTTATCTGCACCCACCTAGAATCAAGTAGGGGTCAAGGAAAAACTATCAGAGGCCAGATAGACAGTTTAACCTACGGTAAAATGGATGACACTATGTTACACGGACTCTGGTGCAAATGCCAGATATAGGTATCCGATATAATGGCATGAATTATACAATGGCAATGAACATGGGAAAGTTGTATCACTATCGTAAGGCCCTGTGCTTCACCTTTTTCATCAAACGAAATAGATTGTTGTAGCAACCAAAAAAAAACATGCAGCCCCATCTCAATGTGATTTCCCTTTCTATCAACAAAAGAACCTACTTTGCCTCCAATTAATGGCCTGGACTCATATATATCAACCTGAAGAAACCGAAGTAATCATCAAATTACTGCCACTATATCGAATTATCAACAAACCATGTTTATTTAAGGAAAGAAGTTTGCAGAAATAGGTTATCCGAAACCGAAAATTGTAAAAATATGGTTCTACTTTGTAATTTCTATTCATATTGAAAGGCCAATCCGGTTAAGATTGTCAAAACAAGTATCTAGAGATAAGAAAAACCTCATGGCCTTGATCCAATAGCTCAACAGCTGTTGACATGCCAGCAAGTCCGGCTCCGATAATCGCCACCTTCAGCTTTGGTCCCCGGTAATGTTCAGGTTCAGGTGGAAACAATCCCTTTGGAGCTGCAAAATAAACAATCCAATTATCTACCACAACAACAACAAAACCCTATTTCTATATGCAATAGGGTAAGGGGAGGTAGCGTAGTAGGCTGCCCCCAACGCCAGGTTGAGAGCAGCTTCCGTGGAAGACCTCCGACAATCAGAAAATTAAAAATAAAGATAAAATACAATACATGTATAAATAAATAAATAAATAAATAAATACATAGTTGAACAGTCTTCATATGTGTGTCTGTAATGGGAAGTAATCCCTGCAAATAAATCATTGCGTAAAAATTTCTGCATATAGACAGAAACGTAAGTCCCGGCTAAATTTAAAAAGAGAACATGAAGAGAAAGATATACCGTAGTCAGCGATAGCAAGGTACGAGAATGAATAAATTCAAATGGGTTAAAACCTAAACTAAGACAATACTACTCTGCTACTCTAGTTCTAAGCTTTCATAAATTCCAATGATATAATCGTATAAATAGTAGAAGTCGTGGAAATTACTATAAATGCATTAAAAAGAAGACAGATGATGCTACACCATATGGTTGTGTCCCACACTACTCGGCTACCCTGATTTTAAGTCTCCATACTTTCCTGTCAGAGGTCATGTTCTCGGTAAGGGCTAAATCCTTCAAATCAGATCTCAAGCAGTCTACTCACTTCTTCCATTGTCGTCCTCTCCTTTTGGCACCGTCGACTGTAATTGATTCTACTCTCCTGACCGCATCTGACGGTTATCGCCTAAGAACATGTCTAAACCATCGTAATCTTCCCTCCCTCTATTTTTCGGATACAGGTATCACCCCCAATGACATCCTAATTGCAGAGTTTGATGTCATGTCCTACAGAGTCTTACTACATGCCCATCGAAGCATTCTCATTTCTGCGGCCTTCATCCTCCTTACGTGATCCTTCTTAATTGCCCAACATTCTGATCCATACAGCAGCGCTGGACTTATTGTCATTCTATAATTTTTTTCCTTAAATTTTAGAGACACCTTCTAGTGACACAAAACTCCGATAGCAACCTCCCCTTTAGCCATCCCACTTTTACGGTGTGTATCGTCGTCATTTACACATCTTTATGTATTATAGGCTTTAGGTACTTGAAACAATCCTTTTAAACTATGGTGTCCTTGAAAATTCATCTAAACTAAATAATTTCACAACACTTATCTACCAAAAATAACACAAAAATATGAGAAAAACAAGAATACCCAGAATGTAGAAGAGCCCCTAAAGGGGGAAACAAAGAAGGCAGATGAAAAATTCAGGAGCAAAGAGAGAGAAATAACCATTAAAGCTCATGTCAGAAACATTGGTGTCTAAAGAAGACTTCACGAAGAGCCTTGGAGACTTCACCCGAGCCATTGAACCTAAACCAGTGGCTGCAAACAGAACAGAAGCAGAAGCCATGGAGAACCAGAAAAATATGAAACTTTAACTTTCCTTCTCAACTAATAACAAGTTCCAATTTCTTTCTTTGATCAACCAATAAAAGGAACCATAAAAGAAGAAGCTTTGGCAATTAAAATAGTAGTAAAAGAATCTGTTGAAGAATTCAGCTTCCAAGGTTCAATTGTTTTTCTACAACACTGAAAAAAAAAAAGTCTTTTGGATGTTGAAACAAAGTAGAAGAAATGAAAGAATGGAAGATGGTTAATCTTCAACAGAGGAAAATACTTCTGTTTTCAGTTTAACAGAGGTAAAAGATGATTAAATCTTGTGTTGAGTTTCTTGTTGAAGTTGAGATTAATATTTTAATGGATAGTGCCATCTTTTTCCCTTATCTTTTGCTGATGTTGTTTTGAAGTAAATTGCCTAGGAAGAGGAAGGACCACGATAGTTGGCTATTTCCTGGCTTACTTACCTCGTGAGCCCTCATTTTAGACAAAAGAGTCGAGGTATGTATATGTTTTTAAATAACTAAGGGTAAACTACATTCAATGATCTCCAAAATTTAGGATGATTGCATTTTAATCACCAAACTTGTAATACATTCACTGAATTTTTAATTCGTTTATAGTAATTGTCGTCGTCGTTAAAGAAATATTATGGTGAAACTTTAAAAACCTTCCCAAAAAACCCAAAGTTTCTCAAATTTGAAATTGCAAATGCACTTCTCCTTTTGCTGTCAATTTTATTGATGCTTTGTTATTTTTTATGGCTTAATACAAAAAAAAGTCTAAAGTACATTTTTTTTCGAAATGATGTTTATATTTTTTTTGGTTATTCTAGATACCTAAAGTTACAAATGTTACCATTTTAGGTTGTCTCAATTGTAACGGCTGTTAAAAAACTCTGTTAAGTGACACATGTCACATTCTAGTAATTTTAGAAATTTCATTATTTTAAAAAATATTATTTTATTAAAAAATCTATTTTTTCTAAAATTACAAAAAAAAACTCAAATCCCTAAATATTCCTAAAATCAACCCTAAAAATCCTAACTCAACCTTACTATCTCATTTTCTGGCCACAACCATCACTGACGATGCCGCCATTACCTTCTCTCTTTTCGATCGTCGACATTCATACGATCTCTCGTGCCATTGAGCCCCGTGGGATCTCGAATAGTCGCAATTTTTTCTATCACATTCATGGATTTAAATCGCAATTAGGGTTATTCAGTGATTGTTCGTCGGGTGGCTAGTAGTCGGCTTGAGACGCGGATGAGAGTAGATTTAGTCGATGAAAACAATGATGATAAAGGACGGCGGCCGACGTGGGTATAGGGATTGAAGTTAAACTTTTTAAAATTTTAGGTTTTTTTAAGATTTGAAAAAAATGTGTTTTATAATATAATAATATTTATAATTTTTTTTAAATAAATTACCAGAGCGTGACATGTATCAATTAACGAAATTTTTTAACGACTGTTACGGTCGGGCACCTAAAATGGTAATGTTTGTAACGTTAGGCACCTGAATTTACTAAAAAAAAAATTAGATACCACTTTAAGAAAAACAATATAATTTGAACACTTTTTTATATTAAACATTTTTTTATTGAAAACATCATCAAACTTTTTTTTTCTTTGTTTACATTTTTTCAGATTCACCAGAAAACATTTCAATCTTTTAAAATCTCAATCGAAACTAAAAATAAAATTTTTTTAATTTGTTATTTTCAACTATCGAATCAACTTAAAATCGAATTATGTCGATCTTCTAACTAAACAGAACTTTCTCACCAATAATATTCATCAAAAACTCCTTAAGATGGAATTGATTGGTTTCTTTTATTTTTCTTTTTTGTTGTTTTTTGCTTGATTTTGTTGTTGTTGTTTATATGATGTTATTGGTGGTTGTGACTTTGAACAATGATCGAATGAGATTGGTAGTAATGACTCGGGATTACTCTAATCATAGATGGTGATTGTAACTCATGATTGTAGTGTTTGAGACTTGTATGAAATGGTGACGATGAATTGTTCAACAAACATGGCAAAATGATGAAGCTTTTGATCATGATTACATGTGTAAATGAATAGAGCATTTGATGAACTATTCGTGAATATTATGTATAACGTTCGTTTATTAAGCTAAATAAAATAAGGGGATAAAAAACTAATTTTACTTGTATTTAAATTGACAATGACATAAAATGTTATAAGAGTAAAAATGCTATAAATCTTTACTTATATTTAAATTTTAGGGGACTTATGTTCGTGAACCCTCCTCCGTATAACATTAGGTACCAAGTTGAAAAATCGGTAAACATTAGGGGTTAAAATGGATTAATCCTTTTATTATCTTAAAATTATCCTAAATTATTTCCCCACATTACTTCTATAGTTTTTTTCCTGCCAAACATGACGTTAACTTCTCCACGTGGCATAATTGCACACTGCGTTCAAACGCGATCCCAACCGCGTTTGGGACCTAAACGTCCATCAAACACGCGTTTGGACAAACGCAAAAAGGTTCTCACTGCAGATTCATCACTCTCTCATCAACAAAATCTTTATTCCGTTTATTCCATGTAATAATCCATACATTTTCTGCCCTCATTTCTTCCCAAGGTACCGATTTCCCTCCTCTTAATTTTCCCTATCTTTTTTCCTTCTTTCAAACCACCAATTTGGGGTTTATTTTCGAGTGTACTCGTAAAAGTTGATTCGTTTATGATTTTTATTTCTGGGTTTTTTGTTTCAATGCTGTTTGGTTGATGGGGTTTGCTTATTTTGTGTTGCTCTGCAATTTTTCTCCTATGGGTTTTTTTCCCATGCTATTCTTTCATGGCTTGAACAATATTTAGTTTATTATTTTAGGGTTTCAAGGCTCACAATTTATAAAAAGGGGCTATTATAAAGAGCTAAAAATTGTAGCTACTTCTTGTTGGCCAAGTTTTCTTGTTGCCTGTGTGTTTCAGCATGTATATACGAGTATATATTTATGTGCGACTGTTTATTTGTATATGCCTGCATGTAAGAATGTGTATCTTGTCTCTTGTACGTATGAATGTGTGCATGTATGTGAATACTTGTGGGTGTGTTATACATACATACATGTATGTACATGATTTTACTATTTGGCAAGAGTATCAAATCGAGTTCAACTCTTTGATCTCAGGATACACACAAACACCTAGGATTGGGTCAAACATACGTATCTCTGCAAACCTGCTAATGAAAACAACTTTCGTATGCTTATGCTAGTGTGTGGCTGTATGTATAAGCAACTCTGGAATGTTAATTAGCTTGGTTGCCATCAGTATTGTTCGGTTGATCAATGTGTGATTCTCTTTTTTGTTCAGAAACAGAATGGTTTATACTTTGATCAACTTCAGTTCTTAACAGATTACTTTTTTTCTTTTATTTTTTCTATTACCAGCAAGTTTATGTGATTCTGTTTTTCTGTTACTTTTGTTATAGATGAAAAATGCTCGAATTGTTACAACAGAAGTTCCTCGAGGTAGGAGTAACGAGAAAATCAAGGCAGTATGGGACAGGAACTTAACGATGATATTCTGTGATCTTTGTATAAAGGAAAAAGATCATAATTGCAGGAGAGGAACTTACTTTAAAAAGGAAGGGTGGTCGAGGTTGGTTGCAAATTTTAACAAAGAAACCGGTAAAGAATACGAGAAGTCGCAGCTGAAGAATCGGTGGGATCTACTGAAAAAAGAATGGAAGCTATGGAAACAGCTCAAAGGGAATGATACCTGTTTGGGTTGGGATCCAAATAAGAACAATCTCGATACTTCAGAGGCATGGTGGGAAAAGAAGCTGAAGGTGCATGATTGATTCTCATAACAAAGTGTTTATTCATCTTTTTGTTCTTTCCAATTTCTTGTCTAGAAGATCGATAATACTCGTATATAAAAGTGCAGATAATGCCCGAGGCTACAAAGTTTAAAAATGGTGGTATTGATCCAGAACTGGAAAACAAATTGGATTGGATGTTTCAGGGTATCAATGACGATGCAACTTTCGTGCACACATTTGGTTTACAGTCAATTGATGGAACCGATGATGATGAACCACCTAAACTAGAGGCCGAGGAGGTTGTTGTCACTGTAGAGGAGATTCAAATGCCGAAAAAGGCAATGGGTGAACGTTTGCATGAGATAGATAACCATTTTATGGAACAGAATCCTCTGGCTCACTCCGAATCCGAGCACCAGTCAGAGCCACCCCACCAGAAGAAGAGATCCCCGGAGTCAGACTCTTCTCATCTCAACAAGGGTAAAGAGAAAGTACCAAAACTAGTTGGGAGAGTTTCGAAACTGTCTAGGCAGATAGATAGATTGTGTAGTGCGGCTGAAAGCATGAGTACCGCAACTTCAGCCAAGTCGAGTTCTGAGCCATACAACATCCCCGAGGCAATTCGATTGCTGGATAACATGGAGGAAGAAGTCCCAAAGAAGAGCCAATTGTATTACTTTGCCACAAAACTATTCCTCAACAAGGATAAGCGGACGATGTTTATGTCATTGTCAACTGATATTAGAGCTTGGTGGCTTAAAATGGAGATGGAGGAGAGCTCCAAGCCCGCTTAAAGCTATAAATAAACGACTTTGAATGCCACAATAGTTTTGTATAACTTCATTTCAATGTATTCTGATCAAGATAATGATCATAATGCTAGGAACTTAAATGATGGATGATATCTCATCCAGCTTAGTTATGTAGATAGATTAGTTAAATGTATGCCCACTTTTTGTTTACTTGGGACTCATTTTTTAGAACAATAGACTAAATCACTTCACTTCAATGCCATGATCAAACAGAACATTTACTTTACAGTGTAAACAAGAGAAGAAGAAAAAGGGATATTTTTTACTTCCACTAGCATTTATTTTTGCTGATATGTAGATACTAAAGAGAGTTTAAATATACTTGAAATGCTTCATTGTTTTGATTTGATTTGTGGTGAATGAGATTCTACCAGTATGGACCAGAGTACATGAACATCCTCATCTGTGCATGACTTCACGTCTTCATATAAAATGTAAATCCCCCTACCTGAAAATCACAAAAAAAAACATGTTCAATCATGATGAATGAATGAAGAATGTGTATTGCATGGCATGCTGCAAAATATTGCAGAAAAAATGACCAGAATGAACTGAAATGATGGGCATTTTGAGAAGTAAATACTTTTTCTTGGAGCCGAGTGCATCCGAAACCAGAGCTTCTTCAATGGGAAGAGGAGGGATCTGAGCCACCCCATTTTGGCAAGATGGAGTGATTCATGGTAGGTGAAACAAATGAAGCATTTAGAGGGGACCAAAATCCAGAGAGAGAGAGAATGTTGGTTTGCTTAGACAAAGGTGAATGATAGATTACAATATCTAGCACCATATTCCATCTTTTTCTTTCCTTATTTTTGCAGGCAGAAAGGTAAAAAAAATGGCAAGGCTAATTCAATGATTGGTGGTCTGTCTTTTCATAAATCTTTCACCTTGTTACCATTAGGAACAAAACTCAGTGTGATATTCAATCTTTGTGCCATTTCAGGGTTGAATTGAGCCATGGCAATGAGCCAGTGACTCAAAATTTATTCAGTCAAATGCTTTAAATCTGGGGCTCAAGACATTAGAAGTAAACACTACTTCAAAACAGGTTTGCAGATGTAATGATGAGATTTAGTCATAGGGAGTGAATATTAAGGTCAAAACTTGGGTTAGTATTTGACTATGACAACATCTTGTGTTGTCATTGGATTGAGGTTCACAGGCCACCTGACAGCTTGAAAGGAACCTCCTCCAGGCATTTGGCATGCTTTTTTGCATTTATGCAAATAACAGCAGCTTTAGAAACTTCTTCAGGAGGACATTAGTTTTCATGTTGATGAAGAATTGCATTGCTCAGGAATTGTTTTTAATAAATGATATTTAATTGGTTTCCAAATTCTAAAGTAATATACATAATATTTTTGAGGCAACCAATTTTTTTTATTAAGTAGAGAGGTATTATATTTATAATACAAATATTGAGATTTGAATTCACGCAAGATGAGATCATATTTATTTCAAATTTAATATTTTAATATATACATATCTTGAGGGGGCAAATTTAATATTTTAATAATGTATATATATTATAATATTTGGGGGCCCATCCCCCAATAGTCTTAAGGCATTCCGACTCAGCATGTTGCTAAATAACTGCATTGCGAGGTAAAACCAGGAACGAACACAGAATTTTATGATAGAGAGATTAACTCCTAAAATTTTAAGGAGAGGTGAATTTTAAAAATTCTAAAGGTGAAAACAAATTATCAATAGAAAATATCTAAAATATATGATAATTTATTATTTTTAGGGAGAGTGGCTCCTCGATCGATCTATACCTGGGTAAAATTATGAGTACCATCCGGTGACAGATATATGTTGTGGTTAGTATGTGTGCCCACCTTTAAAATTAATCATGCATGTTCTGAAATTTTATCATATTTATCTAGATATAAACATTTTATATTAGTAATACATGTGTATCCACTCTTAAAAAAATTTTTAGATCGGTCATTGGTACCACCCTTGAAGTGATACATATACACGTACTTATGGATTCTTTTGATAAAGCATGACAGATTGCTAAGTTTTAGATGATATGAGTGCACAAGGATTCTATTGATTGATATAAACTCTCAATTGTAATGTATCATGCATCGACTCAATGACAATATTTTAATTTTTTTCTAATAGAGTTATCGGCCGTAATTTTTCGTTCAAATAAACAAAATTTAAATCGTTAAAAGTGGCTCCAGCCTTAATTTCATCCTTAACAGATTCAGAGTTATTAATTACGTAGTTATTCCATGTTTCATAAATGTAGTGATGTATTCTGGAAAATTATGATGGTTACTTCCCTAACATCAAAATAAATAAATATATTACTAACAGATTAATTCAAGTAGTAAGCAATTTGATATCGTTTAAATAGTTTTTGATGTGTATGCAGATAATTTCTACTAAAAGATTCATGCACCAAAATCGGATGCATGACTCGGATCGATCCGAATTAGTCATGAAAAAACTTAGAGAAGAAAGAAACCAAAACAAAAAAAATAAATAAATTGTTTGAAGCCTCTAACAAGGCCCGGTCCTAAGAGTCCAACTTCACAAATTTGGTCCAATTTAACAGTCCAACCCGACATATTCTTTTTACTATTAGGGGAAGCACAAAATTGGAATCTTGGACGAGATATGTTAATTATCTAATTATGAAAGGACGGTCCCAGGGATGGGTTGATTTTTTTTTTGTCATTTTAATTTTGATTCAAAAAAGATTTATTCGTTCTCGATCTATCTTAAGTAATTGTGATGTTTCACCTGCCTCAAATCAGATAAAATTTAAAATGTAAAGTAATTTGAAAATTTTGATCAAATATATTAAATTTAAATATTTTAATTAACTGTAAAAGTAATCCGTGTTGTAGGCTTGATTCCTCTATTATATAGTTTAGGATTATAAATAAGACGAGACAGATATTGAGTTAGTCAAGATTGATTTAGTTAAAGTTTGCTCACTTTGAAATCGAATGGACTTAACTCGAATTCTTAACGAGTATAAACAAGCTATTTGATACCATCTCGAAAAACTCGTGAGCAACTTGAAAAAAATAACATATTAGTTTTTTTAGATTTTTTAAATTAAATTATTATTAATAATAATACCATTTATATGTTGTTATTTTTTTTAATTACGTATAAGGATTTCATTTACTTAAAATTTATGTTTGAGTTTGAACTTCAATCAAAGTCTGAGCATATTTCAAACTTAAGTTGATATTTAATTTTTTATTTCGAGTTTGAATCAAACTTGACAATTTTAAACTTATAATTTTTAAAATCGAGTTAAACTCAATTCTATATTTTTTTTAAGTAAAATCTAGCTCAATACTACTCTAATTCAAGTTAACTTGTTTACTGTGTTTGTTGGTAATTGATTTCAACGAGCTATGAACCTTGATGCAAATAGGGGCATGGCCCACTCGATTAACTAATGTAATTACAATTTGATCCTCTTAAAAGTTAATAGTTTAATTTAATTTTTTTAATGTTCACTTTTTTAAATTTTAAAATTTTGTCTCTACTCTTGTTAAAAAATAAAAATATTATTAATATAATATATTTGATGCATATTAGTAATTTAATTTGTGTTTGTATTTAGGGTAGAGTACATAAAAGGTCTTTAGACTATAAGATGTTGTTTGTTAAATCTTCTGATTATTAAAAGTTACAAAATGATCATTTGATTATTCATATTTTTTAAACTCATCATTTTTTTAAGAAATTGACGACGATCTTAGCTGGATGTTAACATGTTGACTAGGATGTGATAAAATTTGATCTTATAAGCGTTTGACTTGTATTTTGTGGATATACTCTCTATTTATATTATATCGTTAAGTCGGTGCCTAAAATATTATGACGGTGAGCTAATACTTGAAAGTAAAGACGATGTTAGTAGATATTATTAAAAATAATTTTATCATATTTAGTCAACATATTTACGTTCAACTTAGACGACCGTTAATTTTTAACAAAAAATAATGAATTTGGAACATATGAATAGTTGAGTGATCATTTCATAAATTTTAATAGTTTGAGAACTCAACAAAATATTATCTTATAGTAAAAACTTAATTTGTTACTTTTAATAATCTAGAATTCATTAAAATAATATCATATAATTAATAGACCATTTATGTACTTTACCCTTGTATATGGTGTGAACCGGTGACAAAAGGAGGAATGATGAAGGAAAAAGTTAATAATGCTGTTGATTTTGTTACCACCTTTTCATATTCTATTTGTCCGCATGAAATTTATCTGTTCTTCTTCTTTATAATGTCATTTATTTTTCTCCGACATTCCACTTATTATAATAATATTTATTTTTTATAAACAATAAAAAATTTTATTTATCCTAAAACTTCATTAAATTTTAAGGTAAAATATATAAATAATCCCCATATTATTTGGTAAATATTTTCGTAAAATTTAAATTTTAATATTAGAGTCACTATAATTCCTTTCTTTTGTAATGATTTTACAACGAAATTTCACTTCCAAAAGAAAATTCATGGGAGACTTAAATCACCTAAATTTTTGTATTTAAAACCATGTTTCATAGGATATATAAAATTTTCGATTATCGATGAAGGTTCAGTTTAGTATTATTTTTTGAAAAGTAACTTTAAAAGTGTTTAAAAATATTTTAAAAATTGGGTTTAAAATTTAACTATTTGAAATTATTATTAAAAATTAAAAAGATAAAATATTAATTTTAGATATTATATTAGAAATTTAATATTTAATATTTAAGAATAAAAATATAATTTCACCAAAAATTAATTTTCTACAACAAAAGCTGAAAATTTGAACTTTTAAGATTATGTTAAAAATCACTCTTCCAACCATAATTTTAAATTAATTTTTTTGATGTTTAATTTTATTTATAAGATAAAAACTTACTTTTTTATTATTAGAAGTATTCCCAAACTAACCCTAAATATATATCTTATTTTAAATTATAATAAGATAAGTATATCTCCAGAACCATAAAATTAATATAATATATATATATATATATATATATATAGTAATCATCAAATATAAAAGTATACCACCACCATAAACATGCCAACCATGTCTTCATGTTAAAGGATCAAAACCAGATTTTATTATTTGATTAATTAGTTAGTTTATACATATACGTAAATCGTGCTTGCAAATTGCAATTTTCACGTTTTTCTTGGGTCCACCAAATGAAGCACCTTTTTCTTCTTTTGTCTTATTGCTTAATCTTTATTTCTGCCCATACATAATAACAAAATTACCCTTAATATTTACATAAATAATTATTTTCGTCAATATTCTTAGTGTTTTAATTTTTAGTGTTTTAATTTTTAACTAAAACTACTTAATACAGCTGCTTTGAAGGGGATTTTTCACTTCCATCCTAAGTGCAGGAAGATAAATCTAACCCATCTTTGTTTTGCTGACGATCTCCTCATATTCTGTAAGGGTGCTATTGACTCTGTAATGGATGTGCAGTCTGTCTTAGATATCTTTTACTTGCTATCGGGGTTAAAGCTTAACGCTAGCAAGTGTGAAATGTTTTCTGCTGGTGTGTCTGCTGATCTGTGTGCTCTCATTTGAGAGGTTACTGGCTTTAAATTAGGTGTTCTCCCAGTGAGATACCTTGGAGTTCCTTTGGTGACAAGGAAGATTTCAGTCAAGGATTGTCAATGTCTGATCAATAAGATTAAAGACAAATTGAACTCGTGGGCAAATAGACACCAAAGCTTTGCTGGCAGGCTGCAGCTCATATATTTTATCCTGTTTAGTATGGCAAACTTCTGGTGCAGGCAGATGATCCTCCCTCAAGCTATAATTAAGAAAGTTGAGCAGCTTTGCTCTCGTTTCTTCTGGAGAGGGGCTGACTTGTCTGCAAATGGTACTCGGGTTAATTGAAGATAAATTTGTCTGATGAAGTCTGAAGGGGGCTGGGCATTCTTGATCTAGGGGGTTGGAATAAAGCCTGTATGGTGCTCCTAATTAAAAAGCTACTAGCCAACGAAGGCTCTTTGTGGGTGGCTTGGATCCACGCGTATGTGATTAAAAATCTGGACTTCTGGCAGATGAGTATCCCCCAAAATGCCAACTGGTACTTCAGAAGAATTCTCAAACTGAGGCCTGGTGTCTCTCATTTATTTGTTGTCCTTGGTTGCAACCTTAACATTAGGCGTATATGGGAGGACTTACGCATACATGGGCCTAAGGTTGCTTTGCACAAGTTGGTTTGGTTCCCAGGTCGTATCCCTAAACATAACACCATTTTGTGGATGGTCGTTCTAGATAGGCTTCCCACTCGAACGAGACTTATGTGAATGGGGCTGAGTATAGATAATGTCAATTGCTTATCCTGTGACACTGAGCCTGAGTCTCGCAACCATCTATTTTTTGGATGTGGTTTTGCTAGGGATCTATGGGGCAATGTTTTGTCTTTGTGTGGGATTAATTGTTACGTGAGTGCTTGGGAAAGAGAACTGGCCTAGGCTTCTCAACTCCTCAAGGGTAAGACTCTCATTGTGCAATTGCTGAAGCTGGCACTTGCTGGCCATGTGTACAACATCTGGAGGGAGAGAAATAGCAGACTATTTGGGGGTAGAGCCAGACCGGTGGGTGATGTGTTAAATGACATATATGATTCCATTCATATTTGACTTAATGACTGGTCTATTAGCAGAGTTGACCAGGGGAACGTTGCCCTCTGTGTTAGCTGGGGTATTTGAGCTAGCGTGTTGTTTTAACCTTGCTTTTTGTTGATTTTAACTGTGTTATTTGTTGTTTATGTAATGCTATGTTTCTTGTAGCAGGTTTTCCTGCTTTCTTGGATAATAAAATGGAATTATCCAAAAAAATTAATTGATTAATAATCAACACATATTATTAATATATTATTTTTTATATATATTTAATTACTGACGTAACACATATTATATAATAATTATAAATGATGTAATACATGTCACATCATTATTTTTAATAATGTAATACATGTCTCTCTTCATTATAATATGACAATGTTAAATTATCATTTTAGGTGATTTGATACTTGATCTATTAATAATTAAGTACGTATGAAAATATAATATCGACATCGTGGGTTGACCGTTAGTCAATCAATAATTTTTTTTGAATAATGAATATTATAACTAAATATTAAAAATGTTATAAACTAAAATGTTCTAAATAAATAAAGATTAAAGTAATCATTTTACAAACATTGAGGATAATTCTGTCATTGTACCTTCTAATTATTATATATTCTCCAACAGGCCGATGACGAGTAATCTTAAAAAAACCAGCCTTTCCAGGCAATACTCAGTTGCTAAAATCCTTCATGTTTTCCTTCCATTAATATTTTCTTTTTCAGGTCTGTCGTTTTCCTGAGGATTTACAGTGAAAGAACTCTGCTTTTTTGTCTACTTCTCTCTTTGTTGAAGTTTTACTTTACTAGAAACATGTCCCCCCACCACATTCTCTTGATTTGTCTTCAAATTTTGAAACTTTGGGAAATTTTCATTGATGGGTGTTTTCAGTTTCTTGCAGGAAATAAACATGTTCCATCTCAGATCAAATCAAACCTAGAAAACCGGTTTTTGAGATGTTTTTTCTGAGACAGTTTTATTAACTGTTCAGTTTAAGGCAAGGGTCCACTTTTTTACTCTTTGTTTCTTCACTTTTCTTTTCCATGTTCTTAAGTATGTTTTAATTGTGCCCTTTTAGGTTACAATAGGTGGGGAGAAAACAGTTTGTGTAAAGAATTGAATAGAAAAAGAACTGGATTTTAGTCGGGGAAATGAGAGATTTTCCATCTTGTTTTGGTGAAAATGGAGTGCAAGTGACTGATTTTTCATCATCAGGTACTGGTAAAAATGCACAGAATTTGGTTATTTGTGTTTATCGATGTCGAATTCGGGTTCGGCCTTGTTTAATAACTGTTACTTGGACCAAGAGCTTGATGGGGCAAGGGTTGAGTATAGGGATTGATGATTCTGCAAATCAATGTCTTTGTAAGGTTGATATAAAGCCTTGGTTGTTCTCCAAGAGAAAAGGGTCTAAGAGTTTAGAAGCATGTTCTTGTAAAATCAATGTATATTGGGACCTTTCTTCGGCTAAGTTCGGATCTGGGCCTGAACCGTTCGAAGGGTTTTATGTTGGTGTTGTTGCCAATAAGCAAATGGTTTTGCTTCTTGGGGACATGAAGAAAGAAGCTTGTAAGAAAACTGGTGCAACTCATGTTCCTTCTAGTGCCATTTTGGTGGCCAAGAAAGAGCATGTTTTCGGCAAGACGGTATTTACTACCAAGGCGCAGTTTTGTGATAATGATCGGATTCATGATCTGATGATTGAATGCGATATGGTTGGTGTTAGCGATCCATGCCTTGTAATTCGTGTGGATGGAAAGGCCTTGATGCAAGTGAAGCGTCTGCAGTGGAAGTTCAGAGGGAACCATACCATTTTGGTCGATGGGATGGCCATAGAAGTGTTTTGGGATGTGCATAATTGGCTCTTTGGCACATCACTCGGTGGAAATGCTGTTTTTTTGTTCAAGACATCTGGTGCATCAGAAGAGAAGTTGTGGTTTAGCCAAAACATTCCCAGTCCGAGTTCCTTGCAATGGTCGTTCTCGCAGAGATTTCAAGATTCAAAGTTGCAGAATCCCGGCTTTTCACTGATTTTGTATGCTTGGAAGAACGAGTAGAGAGATTGTGAATTCTTCTAAACTCTCTAATGCAAACAAAAGCTTTCAGCGAGTTGTGATTTTTATCTACTCTGATTTTAATTACAATTAATTCAATTAAAAGCTGGTCCATTTGTGTTTATGTTCATCTTCAGTTTTTCAACCTTGAGTCAACTGTACTAGAGCTATTGATGTATCAAAGACGACTTTTTCGTTCTTACTTGGCTGTATATCCGCGATAAGTTAGTTTAATCCTCAATTTTGTTTATGAAAGAAAGGTTCTTCAATGAATATGTGTTCAAATCTTCTTTAAGCTGCAGTTTGAACCTGTTTAGTAGACCAGCCAGGTTGAAATCGCCTCGAAGCCTCACCAGGTAAGTATGGCTTTCGTTTTTAAGTCTGCTCAACAGAAAAAGACATGATGTGTTTATTTAGTTTGTTTTCGTTTGTTGTAGCGTGTTAAGCCGTCGGTAAAATCTGGTCGTAACTGTACTTGTGCTTGGGTCATTCCGGATATATGAAGAACATTGTTTTAAGGTTGTTAGCATTTGAAACATCATTTGCTTGGCCTGCTTCGGTATCGGTATCGAACTTTGCCTTCTATGTTAAATTCCCATTGGATCGAGGCATTGCTTCTTGCATAATGTTCCTTGGTATACAATCAAACCGAACATGAAATGCTGATAGCTTTAGTCTTTGAAACCTTAAGCAAAATCATGCTAGTGTAGAATCTTCAGTGTAAAGTGTATTTGTTTGAGAATGCTTGGGAAATTTGTGATTTTGAATTTGGCCTTGCCTTGAGTGGGATAACAAATGAAGTATCTGACATCGACTGTCGTAATGCACGGTAACTGCATTTCGATGGAGGGTTTAAATTATGATGAAGAGGATGGTCTTGCCTAGAAAAATATGCCGTCCCCGGATGGTTCGGGAAGTTAAGTTCAGTAGCTTTTGTGGTTGGAATCACCTATTTAATGTGTTAGTATCAGCTATGGAACTAGTTTAGTTTCATGACTACTCTTTTGCAGAAACCTGAGACGGATCGAAGACGGTTGGAACCTGTTTTCTTGGTAGATTGCAGAGTAGGGTAACAAAAACATGTTCCAAATTTCACACCATTGAAAGACTTTTAAGCTGTTGAACCATTTAGAGCCACATCGATGCACACCGACACCAGCATCCTCGGTCGGCATCTAGACTTCTGAAAGTTTTGAAGTCTTGAGCAGTCGCTAGCTTCGCCGATCTATCAGCTACCATATTCACCTCGCAACAAATCCATTTAACCTCCTTCATCGAACAAGGAGATCAGCCGAACAAGCGAGAGAGAGCGCGGTGAGCATTCTTGAAGCCTCAATGCTATCCGTTTGGATTTGTAGACGCTCCAAACCATTAGCCCAAGCGAGCTTCAATCCCTCATTAGCAATCCCACAGTTCCGCTTGCAAAACCGAGCTGACGCCAACACTCTTATTGGATTCTTCTACGTAATTTAACCCAAAAAATAAAATAAAAAAATACATGATTAATACGATATTAACATTATGTATTTTAATATTAAAATTAGAGGATTATTGTGGTCAGGAATAGACCGAGGAAAGCAGTCGGAGATAGTTTTTTCCAAAAATTTAAATTATTATATATTTTTTTATCTTTTATTTTTTATAATTTGGCTTAATCTCCTATAATTTTATAAATCCGTTCTCCATAACAGTTTAGAAGTTCATTTCCTAACATTAAATCTTACTCTAATCAGTGATACTTGCATCATTAGGGGGTAAAATGTGCAAGACTTAATAAAATAAAGGGTAAAATTATAAATATTCCCCAAAATTTTAGAATGTTTACGTTTTGGTCACCTAACTTTTAAAAGTTGTAAAACAATCATCTAACTTCTAGTTCATTTTCAGTAAGATCTTCAACATTACTTCCCATCAGTAAATGACATGACAATTAACTTCAATTAACCCCTTTCTTAGATCTCTGGGACAACTAAATTTAATAATTTATTATACACGTCTCTTAAGGAGGGCAGATTTAATATTTTAATATATATATATATATATATATATATATATATTGTGGGGCCACGGCCCACACTAGTGTTAAGGGCGTTTCGCCCGACTTTATGCATCTCAGAAATAGCTATTCTGTTGACTACTATAAGAACAAAATATAAGCTTGTCCTTGAGTTCCCACTTTCACTCTAAGAATCTGAAGTCTATGACGCTCCTCAGTCATCTTTTGCTCCAGAGTAAACAACTCAAAGATAACCAAAAGTATAAAAATAAAATTCACAAAAGGACATATTAGATTAACGGCATTACCAAGGGATGAACACTGTTTATACTGACAAGAACTCAAACTCATTGTTTCCCTCTTAATACCAATAAAAATTACCAAATATTACCAAGATACTTAAAAATAATATACCAGTACAATACCAGATAACGGAAAGGGCTGTTCTGACGGCGGTGGATGAATCCATACCGATGGACACACGACGGGTATCAGGTGATATTTCAATGTGGAATTGCGGATAGAAAAATCCATGTTTTTTATTCTTTGAATCTGAATAAACTAATCGGGGGTCTGAAATTTTTAGGAGGAAAAATACAAAGCTTAAAATAAAGGGTAAATTGCAAAAAGCATACTTAACTTTCTTGTTTCTCCTATTTTGGCCACTCCTTTATAATTTTCAATTTACTCACTAAACTTTTGAATTACTCATATTTTAGCCACTCTGTTGTTAACTGTTAAACGACATTATGACATGGCACAAGCATCAAAACGTCATTTTAGAAAATCCAAATCTAGACCAAAACAAGTTCGTTTTAAATCTCTATAAAAAAATTCTTAATTTTTATCTTTTTTTCCTTCCTCTCTATTTACCCATAATATGACCAGTTGCCACCACCAACTACCATATCATTTTCTATGTCAACCACCGTCTACCGTCGTTGATGGTGATTGTCGAACTTTTTTTTCTTATAAACTCTTTTCTACCTGTCGAGCACAAATCTGACATCATTTCCATAAAAAAATATCATGAAATCGATGGATCTAAGCTGGAACTTTTCGAATTTCTTTGTTTTTCATCATCTTTCTCCACCGTTGGATCAATGTCAAATCAAGATATGATGGATTGTTCATCATCGTCCATCTTTTCACCGCTTGAATTTTTAAGCAACTTATCAGAGGTCTTGAAGCTCAAAATTTGATGGATGGTACTTTTTTTTGACTTTTCCCTTTTGCTTGCTTTGAATATGGAATTTCTTTTTTCTTTGTTGTGAGTTCTTCCTAATCGGTAAATCAAAAAAAAAATCCTCGCTCTTTCTTTCGTTCTTTATTTTCCTTATTTTTTGTTCTATTTTACTGTTGTTGATGACTACAATATTGTGCTTGGTTCAAGATTTGAGTTGAGTTTTAGTTTAGGTAATAGGTATTAGCTCAGTGGATATCGAGTTTTATGATGGTTAATGATAGTGGGATCAAGTTTGGGGTTGTGTTTGGTTTGATAATGATGGATTGTTGAGGAACTTAAATGATTCTTGAGTGAGTGAAGGATTTGATGGTGGTAAATTAGTGCGTGAAGGATTTGATGGTGAGGTTCAGTTGAGGTGTTCTTGATTTAGGGATGTTGATTGTGGATTAAAAGGTTTGCTTTGATGTTGCTTTGGGTTCAAATGAAAATAGTTAGTTTAAATTGACATGAGACGACATACGACAATGGATAATTGGTGAAACGTTCAATTCAATGGGAAAGAATTAAGAAATTATATTAATAAAACATTAATAAGAGTTTACATGGTATAATAAAAAAATAATAAAAAAATGAAAAGTCACCACAATGATAGAGAGATAACAGGAGAGTGATAAAAAATTAAATTATCAAATTATAGTGAGTAAATTGAATTTTTTAAAGTTTAGTGATCAAAATAGGAGAGATAACAAAGTTTAGTGATGAGTTATGTAATTTACCCTAAAATAATGGTTTAAATAAATTTTGGTCCCTATGAATTTTTAAATTATGAAAATTGCAAATCTCTTTTTTTTTGGTACATGAAAATTGCACATCTCATGATTTGTCTAATTTTATCATTGTAATTTAATTAACTTAGAATTTAGTTAATGAATTAAATTATTATAATAACTAATGTCTTGCACTAATAAAATATTATATATTATGAGACGTAAAAACGAGTATACTCTAACGTGTACTGTGTAGTGTGTTCTATTTTTTTTTTATTTTCAAAAAAAAATAATTTTAGAGTTCATTGCTTGGCAAGTTACCCTACATTCACAAAGACTAAATCTAATTTTAAATTATAGAAATGATATTATAAAATAAAATCATTAATATAAATTATAAAATGAAAATAAAATATTAAAAATATTTATTTAAACATTATTTAATCTCTTTTTTCTAGCAATAGAAATGATCTAACCATAGATAACAATGTTATTTATAATATGCATAATATCATAAAATGTCTCTAACATCTAATTAAATAGTTATTTTGACTCTTATTCTTTTTTTTTATATTTTCTAGCCACAAACGTTTAATTTTAGAATAAAAAATCCTTATGCAGTGGATGGAAACGGTTATTAACAAATGATTAATTTTCCAAAAAAATACCATTTTACTCTAAAATAAAATGTTAGAGGTCAAACTACTCTATTTTTTTTGAATTAATCACTGGTATTCGGATCTATTGACTGACTAATCCAGATCGGGTACTGCAGAGGCGAGGGAGACCTCCCAACCCAGTTTGCTCAATTCGCAAACGCCAGGATTCGAACCCCTTGCTTAAGGGACCTAGTGCCTCATCCTATTGGACTAACTGATTGTTGGTGGAGGTCAAACTACTCTTAAAAAAAGAATAAATGTCAAGGTAAGTATTTAATTAGATGTTAGGGTTTAGGGTTTAAATTACTATTTTTGTAAATATTAGAGCTTCAAACGTCTCGTTTGTATAGTAGTAGATTACTATTATACTGTTCATTTTGGATTTTCAAATTAAAATGTTAATATAAATAATTAATTTTAAAATATCATGTGTCACTTTATAATTAAATATTATATATAGTGTTACGTTTTATAATTTAATTATTGTTAAATAATATCAAAAGAATAAATTCAAAAATGT